CAGTACATTACATCTATATAGTTCATAAAACGATCCCCCCAATTGCTCCCTCCCTCCTCTGGCACCCCACCTAGCCAACATATTAATGCTAACTGCATTCCCTATGCCATGCTTCCCATCCCCGTGACCATCTATCGACTACTAATTTGTGCTTCTTTAACCCTTCACCCCATTCTCTCAGCCCCCCAATTCCCCACCTCTGTCCATCATTCTGAGTCCTCCCAACTACCTGGCCTATCTGCATCCCCCAACTTCTCCCTAATCCTGATGTATTCAAAACAAGTACAAAAACCCATTTCTACTTTTCAAAGTTTGAGTTCCCAGTAATTATCTTGGATAAAGATCAACACGAATATGGAGTCATAAACTTTTAAAACGCTAAGTTGTACTTGCATCCGGTAATCAGCAGGACTAGTTTTGCTACCCCTTCCTTGACTTATTATCTTCTTTTGGATCTGGGAGTTAGCTTGGATTTTTACCCTGGGAATCTGTGGGCCTAACCTTGTCTGAGTCTAATACCAGACATGCTTTTCAGATTTAGATCAAGACAGGAGGCCTGGTGATGGGAAGGACACCAGGGCATGAGTCAGAAAACCTGGATCCAGGGCCTAGAACCGTGCCTGGCCCCCATGAGACACTCAACAGACATTTGTGAATAAACGTGTGAACAGATGAATGATTCTAATCTTAGCTCTCTGCCTCTAATTTATTGGGGGCACTTCACTTCATTTTTCTGGTTTCATTTTTCTCACTGTAAAATCTGATGGTTACAGAGTTCCAAGGCCTCTTTACACTCTAAACTTCTAAGTTTCTACGTTTCTGCATCCCATTCAGCACTGCTGTACCTGGGAGGGATTCTCTTCCTCTATCAGAATTTTATCTTGACTCTTTCCTCTGGCTAGGTGGCCCCAGCTCATATTTTCTGAGTGGCATCGAGGTTATGTTCTACGGTCTCTTCAATCCTTGGTCTGGCCCTGGTTAAGGACAGAACATCTTTGCCTCCAAAGATGTTCACGTGCAGTCGTCTTCACTCCCCTGGAGGTTTCTACACCTCAGCCCCGGGAAGTGAGCTCAATCCATTTCCCTATTTGCTCAGTTTTCAGGAACATTTTACCCTTGAGAGATGCCTGGATTTTGCCTGTTCATTTAGGGCCATCTCTCACCAGGTTTCACAGGACTCACCCACCATCCTGGGGCCCATCAGTCTCTCACAGCCAGGAGCAGGTCTCTTTCTTCGCTTGTCTCAGGGTTCATGCTCTTTGAGACGCCCCCAGACTGCAGGGAGAGCTGGTAGGCACTCTGCAGAGCAGGGAGGATGACGTGCCCAAACGCAATGAAGGAGCAGGACCTTCCTCATTCAGGTTGTACCTGACTTATAATTCAGGGATTTCCTCCAAGAGGTCTTCCAGGAACAATCATTTAAGAGTTTGAATATAAAAATGCTTTATATTTGAACAACTTTCATCAAGGGAAGAAGAAGGCAGCTCCCTAATATGCTGCATTAAAGGAACTGTAGGATTTTCCTCTTTGAACAGCCTACAGTCCATTTGTGTAAATATATCAAATAGTTACAAAAGTCAAGTCCTGCTAAATACTTACATAAGTATACAAGGCAGCATTGGAAACTGAGATAACAGCATTAAAGATATGACGAGCCTGCAGGTGATCAATCTTTGAATGCATTGTAGAGAGACAGCTGATTGCTACAAATTTAGAGGGGAGAGTGGTCATCTGGCATATACGCTTACCTAATACATAAGTTAATCTAGTTTGTTCTGTCCAAAATTTTTGCAAACCCTGGCTTGAGCTGCTCTTCTCTGCTCTGCCACAGTAGCGGGTGGAGAGAGGAGTGGGTCTTGGCTATTAGTCAAAGTCCCTGGGCAAAGGGATGGGGAGGACATTATGCCCAGTGTTTGACATTACCTTAATTTGGAAGAACTTTTTTTAAAAAAGTGTTAAAA